CATTGGGCTGTTTGTTTATTTGGTTGTATATCACGTGATTGGGTGTTATATAACATGGTGTTATAAATATAATTTTCCAATAATTAATAAATATAAAAAAAAATCGTAATAAATAACAATACAAATAAAAATTAAATATGACAAGATTTAAATAAAAAAAAAATTTAAAATAAAAAAAAATCAAAATAGAAAAAACAATTGAAATAAAAAAAAAACATTGATAAAAAAATCAAACTAAAAATAACTCAAAATAAAAAAAATCGAAATAAAAAAAAAAACAAAAAAATAATCAATATACAAATAAAAATTAAAAAATCAAAATATAATAATAATTAAAGTTAAAGTATAAAAAAATAAATTGTAAAGAATAGAATTGTAAATAAATTAAATAAAAAAATTTATTGAGTATTTATTTAAGAAGTTTTTTAATATTATTATAGAATTATAAACAATTATTATAAAACCTATTTATGGTAATGATTTTTAAATTTTTTTTTTATGTTTTGTATATAAAATTTTTTTTTTTTTTTTTTTTTAAGGTGTCCTTCGGGACCAAGCTTTATTGATGTTTAACTGTTGACCACGTGGGTCTTATATTTAGTATTACAATGAGAATACAACTAACTACATGTACAACTTTTGGTTGCCTATTTTAGTAGTCTGCCCAAAGGTTCTACACTAGATGCCATGCCTATTATCTGACTAGGGGATTATCTATTTAAACCCTCTAATCATATATACCTACCAATTATTCTAAGCCAGGTATCTTTATACCAAAGTGCCCCCACTCACTTACCTGAGTTTGGTTACCCTGCTGGTTTCCTTAGGGTTCCTACAGATGGGCATAGTAGCTGCCTCCCTAATTCTTCTATGTCCCACATATTTCTAAATTAGGTTCAGAAAACCTGTTTGCTATGCCGAGACCAACACTAGTGGTCAGAGCTAACTATTAAACTGCACAATTCCTGGTTCCCCTGCCCTTACAAGATTCATTCCAATCCTAATACCTACATTTACCTTCCTTCTAGTCCTTATACCGATCCTTCCTAAACTTCCAAACCAGTTAGCCCGGATAGATTGGTATACCTAGACTTTAAGTGTCTGGTGGTTCCCTTCCTTCAGTTCCTAATTCTGCAGCATAGGACCTTTTCCTCCAGTGCGACTCCGGCGGCCAGGTTGGTGAACCCTTCTTGCCCCAGGGTTATTCGTCCGGTTCTTCGGTCTCCAGTTTCTGGGCTTCTGGCTTCTGTAGTATCGTCAAAGATCTTCACTACTTCCTTGCTCGTGTCTTTCCAAATGGGTTTCAATTATTCTGGTTCCTTGGCTTTGTCTGTGTGATGTCACACAACTTCACCCGAAAGCTCCCATTCAAGATGGTGATATCAAGGTTACAGGTAATACACCCAACCGATCGTTGAATAAATGTTACCGAAACAAATCTTATTTTTCAAAATCATCGTCAGTAGGATTTGAACTCTAGACCTGCCATTTGGAGGGGTGACAACTTACCAACTTCACTAAGTCACCACACCCTCATATAAAATTTTTAAACACCAATTTTTTTATATTAAAGTAAATATTAAGGTTAGGATTAGAGTTTGGAAAGTGTTTTTGGTATAGAATATTTTTACTTAAAACATTTCACATTGATTAATTAGCCAGTTTTTAAAATAATGTATATATAAGTATAAAACATCATAGGTGCATTTTAGTAAAATTCTTTATAATAATTATGCATTTATATAGTATTAGCTAAAAACTCATGCAATACATAGAAGTTTAAATTTACTTAAACTTTATTTGAATTCATTTGATACAGTTTAGATTTATTTGAACCCAGCTTGGTTTTACTTTAACCTGGCTTGGGTTCACTTAAACCTGGCTTACTTTATTTGTTATATAATTATGAATAATTTATATAGTATTACCTTGCAGCTAAATATTATACAGAATTTTTTTTATATAGTATTAATATTATAAACTTTGATAGTTTTTAAAAATTAAATATACTAAGCTATATTATATATATTTTTTTAAAAAATTTACTGTATTAATTTATATAAAGTATTTAAATATAAATATAATTTATTGAATATAATATATAGGATTTAAATCTATCTATATGTGTTTTATACTTATATATATATTATCTTAAAAAGTAGCTAATTAATTGAAGTTGTAAAAAGTCTATTGCAAGATAATAAATTTAAATCTAAGTTAATTACCTTTATTGGTAATATCATTACAAGATAATAGATTCAAACTAAAATTAATTTAATTTTAACTTTATTAAAGATACCATTGCAAAGCAATGTATTCAAACCTAGATTAATCTAATTTAAATACAAATATTTTAATTTTATCTATTATTTTATTATCTATTAAGAAAATATTATTGAGAAAATACTATTGAAAAAATACTGTTGCAAGGCAACGGGTTCAGACCTAGTAGGTTTAGATTGCAGATAAAATAGGCTGAGTCTCATTCTTGTAAAAATTTGTAAAATTTGGCTTTGGCCAGAAAAACTTCTTGTGGATTCTCAATACAAATTATTAAATAAAGATAAAGACAAAACCTTACCTTAAAAAAAAAAAAAAAAATTCTTTTTATTTTTTTGAACAAATGAATGTGAATCCCATAGTATATATGCTAATACTTCACCAACCACTTGAGGATCTTTTTGTATAAACTTTGTAATAGCAAAATTATCATCTTTAATATATATTTTTTAACCGCAATACAATTTTAATGTTCAATAACTAGGTGGATTTGGAAACTTGCTAGCTTTTTCATATCTTTATAGTCTTTTCATGTTCTTCAACAATTTCACCATCTTTTAAAATTTGGTTTTTTCATAAATACCTATTATGTATTACTTGCTATAGTTCTTTAATTAATATACTTTGCATAACTTTGTCTGATGAATCTGCTATTTTGATATCCACAAACTTAGAATTTTGCTTTATCATTAGTATGTTTATCATTACAGTTAAATAATACACCTCCTCTTCTATGTTGCTTAAAAATATGACCTTCCTTATTCTCAAAACAAGTAGAACAAATATAATGTGTTCTTTTCCTATTTGTTAATAATTGAATAAATTAGTTTGTTTTAAAAACTAAACATAATTTTACATTACAGCATAGATTACATATATTACATTCTATAACTGACCATAAATAAAATGAACATCTACCACCTCTACAAAAATAATAATATCTATCATAACAAACTTCTCCTTTTATGAATTATATTTTTTTAATTGAAATACAGTATACTCTTTCAAAACTGATCCTGTCAAAACTGATAACCTGTTATATCTGATAAAAAATTGATCCACCATGTATATTCCATATTTAAATCCAATAACCTGCTATTTTTGATAAATGATACTTAAAAGATCAAATATCTATAAGATATTAGGTTTGTCAGATATTATAAATCAATTTAATTGGCTCAAATAGAGCTTTGTGTGTCCAAGTAGATATATAATCTAGCCAATTATATTTATTTATAATCATATGACTAGTGAGCTATTAGTATCTTAAACCTGATAATCTCTCAAAACCAATACAAAAGCTGTCTACCATGCCTATCAGATTTGAGAGGGTGTACTGTACTACTTATTGATTCTCTTATATATAACCTTTTGATCAAAGTTAAAATGATTTAAGCATACACCTAAAATTGTAAAGCATATAGATAATTATTTTTGTTTTAAAACCATATCTACTGTGTTAAAATCTAATTCCAAAATACTCATCATTTGTTTAAATGGTTAGGAAGCAGGCTCTAAACATCTTTCAAGTTTACTACTTGTTAATTTAGTAATTATATATTGTTTATTGTTATAATTAATATGAATAGTAACATCATCAATATTATAGTCTAAGTTATCTTTGTCAGTTGTCAATATATTACTTAACAAATGTTCTGAATCATCTAGCTCACTTGACAACTAATCAATATCTGTAAAATTATTTATTTCTATATTTGACATCATTTGTACATATTCTTGTATAAGATTATTATTAGAAAAAAGGCAATTTACTATATTTTCATCCATATTTTCACTTACAGTAGTTGTGTTAGTCTTTGGTGTTCCAGGTTCAAATACATCATTTCAAAGTCAACAATACTCTCTTCATTGAGAAGGGCATAATCACCATTGGGATCAGGATACTCATAATTTGGTACTTTGTTATAATGATAAATGTCTTTGTCTTTTTTGTTAATTGCTTTTGCCATTAGAGTATTAAAATATAACTATTGCATAAATTTAAAAATATCTATTACAAAATACATAAATTTGTAAAAAAATAATTATAAGTAAATACTTTTGATTCTATACAATAACAGTTAACCAACATGTCAGAGTTTGTGTTAGATTTGCATACTTATTGATCAACTTAATAAAGGTACCAAATTTTATATATAAATTTTGTATATATATTTTTTTTTTATTTTTCTTTGAAGTTTAATATAAAAATTAAGTTAAACTTCAGATACTTATTCTTGAGTTTTAACGATTCTTTGTACAAAATTTGAGCAATAGCTAATAATAAAGTTGAAATAATCTTGACCCTAAAGTTAATGTTTATTTACAATGTTTCTTAGTCCAAAGACTGACACACCATCAATAATTACAATAATATATGTTCCTTAAATTAAA